TGCTTGCCAGGTATCTTGTGGCACACAAAGGCACCTCTGTCAAGCTCTCAGCCTCAGCAGAAACCCTCCAGGCAAGGGAGAGGGTGGCATGATATAGTCACGTTTTTCTTTTTTTGAAAGATAAAAAAATTGATCCACCTATACTTTATCCTGCAAAATTTGAATTCAAGTGTGATGGAGAAACAAAACTTTCAAACAAATGCTAACAGAATTTCACCTGCCCTGTCCTCTATGTTGAAAGGATTTCTACATAAAACACCCACATGGAAAGAGACACCCACAGAGCAATGATTCTTCCTTTCTTTTTTAGGTTCTTTTGGCCATACCTGGAGCAAATAAAAAACAAAACAAAACAAAACAAAGCAAAAAAAAACAGCATATAGATGTCTTTATTTATGACTCATTTATAACATAGGTATATAGAAATAACTGCCTATATAGAGACATATAAATGTCTTTGTTTATAACACACCCTGGGCAAAAATAAATAAATAAATAAATAAATAAATAAATAAGGCATATAGAAAAAGAACAGGGAGGAGTTCAGAATTCCTGTCGCCTAGATAAAGGTTGGAGCTAGAATTAGCAATAAGTAGGGGAAAGTGGCATGACTGTGGGGTCACCCAGTGACCGGAGAGCCCGGCAAGCTACTGAGAGTATCTCACCCGCACAGCAGAGCCTGGCAAGGTCCCTGTGGTGTAATTGATATGCCAAGAGCAGTAACAACAAGTCTCACAATTTGTTGTGAGACGTTACTGGTGTCCGCTTGAGCAAATCGATGAACAACAGGAGGACAGTGCTAGGACAGTGCTAGGATAATGTTCCAATACCACATCCTCCCCCAGCGTATCCACTTCAATCCACTAGTCTCAGAGATCCCCTCCCATGTCCCACCTCCCAGAGTACATTTTTTTTCTTTTTGGGTCACACCCGTGGTTTATTCCTGGCTCTGCACTCAGGAATTACTCCTGGCCCCAAACCCAGAGTAAACTACTAAACAAAGGCAATAACAATTATGAGAAGATATTTGCACATCCTATGTGTGATAAGAGATTAGTACCCAGAATATATATATATATATATATATATATATATATATATATATATAAACTCACACAACTCCACAACAGAAAAGCAAGCAACTTAATTAAAAAATGGGCAGGAACTGGGATATGACTCAGCAGTAGAGCACAAGCCTCACAACTGTGAGGTCCTTGGTTTGATTTCTGGGACTCCAAAAAAATAGGTTAAAAAAAATGGGCTGGACCAATAGCACAGTGGGTAGGGCATTTGCCTTGCACGCGGCCGACCTGAGTTCAATTCCCAGCATCCCATATGGACCCCTGAGCACCACCAGGAGTAATTCCTGAGTAAAGAGCTAGAAGTAACTCCTGAGCATCGCCACGTGTGACCCAAAAAGCAAAAAAAAAAAAAAAAAAACTAGACAGGCACCTCTCTGAAAAAGACATATAGAAGGGTCACTTACGCAGGAAAAGGTGAAAATCAGAATCACAGTGAGGCATCAGGTATGTCCACAATACTGGCCTCCAGCGAAGGAATGGAAATGGTGTCAGGGAGGAGTGGAGATAAAAGAACTTTGGAACACTACTAGTATTTTAAGGACTAGGGTCTAGGATCCAAGTCCTTACTTAGTTCATTTTGAGTTAACTTTTGGGTGTTGTGTGAACCTAGTGTTTGCACATGAATTAGAATTTTCATTCTTTTTCATATAGCTATTCAATTTTTTCCAGCACTGTTTCTTGAAGAGACATTTTAATCTCCATTTTGTGCTCTTGGTTCCTTTATTGTAAATTAACTTTACATAATTTTGAGGATAGTTCTGGACTCTCAATTCTATTTTGTTGACCTGTGTGCCAATTTTGATTATAATACCATACAATTTTGATTTGCTCAAGCGGGCCCAGTAACGTCTCCATTGGAGACTTTGTTGTTACTGTGTCTGGCATATCGAATACTCTCGGTAGCTTGCCGGGCTCTCCGAGAGGGGCGGAGGAATCGAACTCGGGTCGGCCATGTTGGCCGCTTGTAAGGTGAATGCCCTACCGCTGTGCTATCGCTCCAGGGCTGGTATTCGATATGCCAGACACAGTAACAACAAAGTCTCCAATGGAGACGTTACTGGGCCCGCTCGAGCAAATCGACGATCAACGGGAGGGCCTTTACCTTACCTTTACCTTACAATTTTGATTAATATACCTTCCGTAGTTTGAAGTTGGGACACATGATACCTTTGATCCTCTTTCACACTGCTTTAGATATTCAAGTTTTTGTTTTATTTGTGGATCCATATGAATTTTAGGAACACTTTTTTCTATTTCCTTGAAGAATATTATTAGAATTTTGATAGAGATTGCATTGACTCTGTAGATTGCTATAGGTAAAATAGCCATTTTGATGTTTATTCTTACATGAACAGGAACTATCTTTTTATCTCCTTGTGTTTTCTTCTCTATTTTTAATGAATGAATCTTGTACCTCTTTTGTTACATTTATTTCTTGTTACTTAATTTTTTCTGATGCAGTTTTAATGGGTCTTTGTCTAATGCCAATAAGATTGGCACCTTTGAGGCAGAGAATGACCCATGGACTGTTCAAGCTTTCAGTCACCAGGGCAGCCATCAGTGGTCACACAGGTTGGGGGCCATTTATTCAATACAATATGGCTCCTCCATCCTCCAGCAGACTGCTTAAGTTGACAGAGAGACATTAGCATACAACAGGTACATGAAGATCAGAGCTAACATATTTCACATAGCTTGTCAGTAGGCACCCTTAAAAGTATAAACGAGGGGGCTGGAGCAATAGCACAGCAGGTAGGGCGTTTGCCTTGCACACGGCCGACCCGGCTTCAATTTCCAGCATCCCATATGGTCCCCCGTGCACCACCAGGAGTGATTCCTGAGTGTATGAACCAGGAGTAACTCCTGTGCATTGCTGGGTGTGACCTAAAAAAGCAAAAAAAAAAAAAAAAAAAAAAAAAAAAAGTAAAATGACCCCAAACAGTTTATTCTATGCTTTCTGTGGGGGGGACCACACCCAGTGCTGATGAGTGGCTCTGAAATCAGAAATTACTCCTGGAGGAACTCCAATAACCATATGAGATGCTGGGAAGGGAACCCGGGTGGTCTGCATGCCAGGCAAATGTCCTACCCGCTGTACTATCACTCAGGCCCCTCTTACTCTATGCTTGCCCAGTGCACGTTTGCAGCCAGCAGATAATCTGTTATCTATTCTCTTCCTTCTGCTGTTCTACTCTTTCCTGGATGCACATTTGCAAACCCTTTGCATTCTAAGCCTTGCAATGCTCAGGGCTTACTGCTGGCTCTGTGCTCAGAGCTCACCCCTGGTGGGTTCAGGGGAGCATAGTGGTTGAACCCAGGTTGATCACATGCAAGGCAAATGCCTTACCTGCTGTACTGTCTCTCCAGCCCTATTATGGTCTTTAGTATGTTGAGGCACATTCCCTTGATTCTCATTTTGTTGAATGTCATACTGGAAGTTTTCTTTATATCCACTGATATGATCATGTGATTTTAACTTCTCCCATAGTTGCTTTTCCCTCCTTTTCTAAATGATGTAGCTATATGTATTTATTATCAGGATAATGTTAATATTGACCTTGTAAAAAGTGTTCAGGAGAATTTTCTTTTCTTCATTTTTTGGGAATGCTTGAAGAAGGATTGGTAAAAGTTCATCTTTGAAAGGTTTAGTAGAACTCATTCATACAACCATCTGGTCTTGGGTGTGTGTTTTAGGAAGATTTTCTCTATTATTGCTTTTTTGGGGGAGGCCACACCCAGCGATGCTCAGGAGTACCTCCTGGCTCTGCACTCAGGAATTACTCCTGGCGGTGCTCGGGGGACTATATGGGATGCTGGGGATCAAACTCAGGTCGGCCACATGCAAGGCAAACGCCCTACCCGCTGTGCTATCACTCCGGCCCCTATCATTGCTTTTTAATTTCTTTCCTTGTAATCTATTGCTTCCTGATTTGGTTTGTGGAGGTTTTAAGAGTCTATGAGTGTGTACAATTCTTCTTTGTTCTCCAATTTAATGCCATAAAGTTGTTATTAGTAGTCACTTATGATCCTTATTATTTCTGAGCTATCTGTTGTAATTTCTAATCTTGGATATCTTTTACTTCTTAATTTTAATAAACTTATTGTTAACATATTTCTGTGTTAACACTTTCCTTATGACAAAAAGCCAAACATTATAAAGCATATTAAATTCAAGAAGCAGGGGCTTCAATGAAAATAATATTCTAACCATTAGATCATATTTTGGTGTCTAGGTATATTTTCATTTTTCTATTAAAAGGAAACCTTTAGGGGCTTGAGAGATAGCATAGCGGGTAGGGCGTTTGCCTTGCACGTGGCTAACCAGGGTTAGATTCCCAGCATCCCATATGGTCCCCTGAGCACCGCCAGGAGTAAGTCCTGTGTGCAGAACCAGGAGCAACTCCTGTGCATTGCCGGGTGTGACCCAAAAAGCAAAACAAATAAATAACTGTTGCAAATACTGATCTGAAAACACTAATGTATGCCAAGGCCTTTTTTTTTTGGTATTAATGAATGGCAAAAAGGGGTGGGGGCTTATCATTACATTTTGCACTTAGTTAAGTTGAAGAACTATCCTAACACTCATAATGTAATAATGCAACTAAGAGCTAGGGGAGATATTTTAAATATTTGGCCATTGCCCTGGCAACACTGGCACCAGCCAAGCTTGCTGTGCCAAGAGGTCTCTGCTCCATGGGCTCAGCTGGAAAAGGACACCAAGATGTCATGGCAGTGAGGGTTGGGAGTCAAGCTCACTGCTCTTAATCAAGGGGCCAAGGGGCATTTCAACCTTTCCAAGTCTGGCAGAATCCGACTCAAAAACCTTCACAGGATAGCACCGATCTCTCTAGCCAACCAGTGGTCTTCCTCTAAACTGCCCACCTCACTGCCCACCCTGATAATGCTACATCGTCCAACCTTATCTGTTTCTGAGAAGGTTTCCTGTATCACTGTCTCGTTTTCATCCACGCTTAACTCGGAGGAGTCTGGCGGCTTCCTGGACAAGGCGTACAGCACAGCATCGTGGACAGTGAGGAACAGCTGGGTCTTGGTGATACCCTCATCAAAGAAATCGTTGCTCTCAAATTTCCTGACCACAGAAGCTACAAAGTAAACCAGAACACACGCAGGGTCAGATAACTGGGGAGGAGCGTGGGGGAGGGGGGGCAAAACACAGCCTTCTTTCGGGGGAAGGAATACTCACAGTGGCACCCTGCAATGAGCACCAAGACATTGGCATTTCGGAAAGCATTGCACATCTGTGGGGAGAAAGTAAAGCAGTATGAAAGACCTTCACGTTCACTGAGGAGGAGTCTTCTGATGAGCCAAGTTTTCAGTTTTCCTTCATCGTCCCCCCCTCCCCCTCCCCCTCCCCTCCCCCTCCCCCTCCCCCTCCCCTCCCCCTCCCCCTTCTTCTTCTTCTTCTTCTTCTTCTTCTTCTTCTTCTTCTTATTATTATTATTATTGTTGTTGTTGTTGTTGTTGTTGTTGTTGTTGTTATTATTATAAATCGCCCTGAGGTACAGTTACAGAGTTACAAACTTCCGTGCTTATGCTTCAGTCATACAATGATTGAGTACCCATCCCTCCACCAGTACCCATTCTCCACCACCAATGTTCCCAGTATCCCTCCCCCGCCACCCCTGGCTCTGTGGCAGACACATTCCCTTTTACTCTCTCTCCCTTAGGGCTTGGAAGCCGGTCTCACATGCTGCTGGGGAGAAGGCAGCTCAGATAGAGAAGGGACCACCAAGTAAAGTGTGCTTGGAGGGCCTGCTCAGGATGGAAGATGCATACTGAAAGTAGACTATAGACCGAACATGATGGCCACTTAATACCTGCATTGCAAACTCTTTGTCATTTTCTTCGCCTTGTATATGTATCTTAGCATTTTAGCTCAACTGTATAAACACCAGAGGAGTGAACCAGGCCAGGAAACTGAGAGAGTACTGGTTACGCAAAAGAGAATCAGATGGTCTCATGGTTTGGGGGGCAGGACTGAGAGGGGAGATTGATCTCCCAAGTTCACCTCCAGAGGTGAGGTTCAAGTGCAGATCATACTAGGAGAGCCACGGGTGCTGGTGTGGAGTGAGAGTTTACTGCAAAGTCCTCAGGCCTCATCTGCATTATTGCTTTGTGTTTGCCTGTGACTTCTTAATTCTGGAGTTCAATGAACAAAGGAAGCAAACTGTGGTCCGGAGGTAATCAAATGAGAGGCCAGAGAGACAGTACAGTGTATAGGACACTTGCCTTGTACACGGCTGACTGGGATTTGATCTCTGGCACCCTAGATTGTCCCCCGAGTCTCAGCAGGAGTGATTTCCGCTCTCAGAGCCAGGAGTAAGCCTAGAGGACCTCTGGGTGAGGCCCAAAACAAAACCAAAACCAAACAAACCCTAGAAAACCAACCAAACAAAAATGGATAATCAAATGCCATAGTAGGGGCAGAGTTCAGGAACCCTAAGGGTCAAATCCAAATATCCTTCAAGGTTGTATTGGACTCTGGCAAATCAACTGATTTTTAGTATTTTGGTTAGTAAATATCAAAGACTGACCTCCAGTTTACTTTAGTCGATATATCTATTTTAAGACTATAATCCTTAAAGTTCAGTTTTAAGCAATTAAATATTGATCTTAATATCATTAAGATTAAAGTGACTCCTAGCTTAAGCTATTCTTCTGCGTCCTCATATAGCTCATGAGCTAATGCTTATGAATGTATTAAACAATCCAAAGAGAAAATAAGACAGATACTACTTCTCTCATTACCCATAGGAAACCAGAAAACGATTCCTTTATTTTTTTTTAAGTGCTAAAGATCAAATTCAGAGCCTCACACATGGGCATGGGTTCTACCACTAAAACTGTAGTCCTCCTTGGTTCTCTGGGAAATCATAAAATCTTTGAGAACAACAAACAATGGCAGACTGAAGGTCCATAAAAGAAGAAGATACTGCCTTATAACAAGAACAACTGCTGGGGCTTTTCTTAGTAGGGTTTAAGTTTTAAACAGAAACAAAACACATCAAGTTTTCCTCCTAGAAGGCCATCTAGGATACGTCCAAATGGAGTGAAGAAGCAAGCTTGCACCCTTGAAGTATAAGATCATACCAAGAAACTTCCAAAGCTGTGAAGTACAAGTGTCTGACAGGGCCGGAGTGAGGCTATTCACGTAAGGCTGGAGCAGAAGCCATCAACATTGGCCAGATGTGCATAGTTCATGCCAAGCAGCCACTCACCAGGTGTCACTGCCATAAAAAGAAGGCAAGAGAGGAGGAGGGCGGGACGGGGAGAGAGAGAACAGGCAAGAGAGTGAGATAAAGGCAGGTGCTGTTAGTTTCAGTGCCGGACAGGCTACTCCCCAGCTGTGAGACGTGTGCCTCAGGGCTGTTGTGAGAAGTGAATGAGACAGTGAAAGGAAGTGTGCCCATCTCAGTCAGTCCGACCTATAATGTGCATTCGAGAATGGAAACCGAATGAGATCTAAAGTAACATGGACAGTGCAAGACTGGGAGAATGCGAGGTGACCCAACGACTGGGAGATTGGGAGACCCAAGACTGGGAGAAGGCGAGGCGACGCAACTTCAGATGGAAAAAAACGCCAAAGTGAAGGCACTGATTGTTATATATTTGAGTCTGAATGTAGGGTTGGGGGATGAGGGTATTTCATGTATAGGAAAATCCTTGACATTAATCTCTTCCAATCCTTTCATTTTAGAGGCGCGGAAACCAAAACTTGACACAGTTTTATTTTATTTTTTTGAATTTTGAGTTACACCCAGCAATGCACAGGGGTTACTTACTCCTGGCTCTGTGCTCAGGAATCACACCTGGTGGTGCTTGGGGGAACATATGGGATGCTGGGGATCAAACCCAGGCCAGCTGCATGCAAGGCAAATGCACTACCCACTGTACTATTGTTTCAGCCCCCTGACATGACGCAGTTTAGAGAACTGTCTTGTATCCTATGAACCCTGGGATACAGGACCAAACCCAAGACCCAGACCACCAACCTTGATTCCTTCTTTCCATTGCCTTTGACACAAGAGGAACTGAATTCCCTTAAGGAAGAAACTTATTCCTTGAGGGTCCAAGAATAGAAGAAGGAAAGATCAGCCAAAGTTACATCTTTCCAAATACTGGCAGGACCAGTGGAAGTGGAGAGAACCCGGAAGACAGTATTTGGGACATTTAAACTAGCGTTGTCCCTTACAGGATAAAGAGTAAGGACTGGAAACTGAGATAAGATGATTGCACTAGCAGGACATTAAACAATGAAATCAATATGGTTAATTGGGCCTCTAAACTGTCTCTATTGTATGAGAAGAGAATGGAAACCAAAAGCACATAGCTTTTCAAGGAAAAAAATCATTCCTATCTTTTTTTTTTTTTGGTCTGTTTTGTTGTTGTTTATTTTGGCCATATGCAGCAGTGCTTGGGGTTTATTTCTGGTTTTGTGCTCAGGGATCACTCCTGACAGTACTCAGGGAATCACAGAGTGTCATAGATCAAACCTGGTTTGATCACATGAAAAGCAAGTGCCTTACCTGTTGTACTATCCCTCCAGCACTGTTATCTGTCCTTTTTTTATTGAATCACTGTGAGATACAATTACAATGCTTTCCTGTTTGAGTTTCAGTCATACAATGATTGAACACCCATCCCTCTACCAATGCACATTTTCCACCACCAATGTTCCCAGTATCCCTTCCTCCTCATCCTACCCCTCCCTCTGCCTCTATGGCAGACAATTTCGCCCATACTCTCTCTCTACTTTTGGACATTATGGTTTGCAATACAGATACTGAGAGGCTATCACATTGGTCTTTTATCTACTTTCAGCACACATCTCCCATCCCGAACTATCCCTCCAATCATCATTGACTTAGTGATCCCTTCTCTATCCCAGCTGCCTTCTCCCCCAGCTCATGAGGCAGGCTACCAACCATGGAGCAATATTCCTGGCTCTGTCTCCACTGTTCTTAGGTGTCAGTCTCATATTATGTTATTTTATATTCTACAAACGAGTGCAGTCATTCTATGTCTGTCCCTCTCCTTCTGACTCACTTCACTTAGCATGATACTCTCCAGGATCATCCACTTATAAGCAAATTTCATGACTTCATCTTTCCTAACAGCTGCATTCCAATATGTAGATGTACCCAAGTTTCTTTAACAAGTCATCTGTTCTCCGGCACTCGGGTTGTTTCCCTACCCTTTTCACCCAAAGATTGGATCTCAGTTCACCACAACTTCATCAAACCTGAGAGCCTTTTACAATGACTAGCTCAGAATAACAATAAATTCTTGGTGTTTTGTCTTTTTCTTTCTGTAGCATTCAAACCAGTATCTCGTCAAGATCTGAAGCAAACTCCCAGGTTATTTTGGGAGCTGCTGACTGAGTCACAAACTATTGTTTCAATGATGTTGAAAGTCCCTGTTTTTTATTCTTTGAGCGATAAGCTGCGGGAGTGGATTCACTCTCCTTCAATTCTGGCTGGCCTAAAACTATATCCTGTGTCCAGATCCTTAGTGGCCTGAGAGTCCCCTAGCAGTGGACCCATAAGTAAGAGGAATCCATCCACCTCTTGGATGGGGGATAGGGAGTGCGAAGGCTGAGCTCTCGTTTGAACTCCCCATCCTCACCTGTCTTAATATGACTAAAGCCTGTGCGTCCACAAAATGTACCATGGTGAAGTCCAGGATGATGGTGTGGATGCTGGGCTGAACTGACATTTCTGAATGGAGGAGGAAGGATCTGCTCCGGGACTGGCTCTCTGTCAACTCAGGGATGGTTAAGCTTGCAGCCTGATTAGAAGCCCAGCTTTTACTCGACTCCTCGAGTCGGTGGCTTGAGTTAGACAGCGTGCACTGTATCTGCTGGTCGGAGTACTGGGGGATGACTTCTGAACTGTCTAAATGTGAGCAGTGGACCAGGTTGAGGGCGGACGTGTCGTGATCCAGTCTGTTCATATAGACCTCCGTGTAAAGAACCTGTGAGAGAGTGAGAAGACGTGTTTGCTACTCTGCCACTCCTACCTACTCACTGACCTTTGCTCTCCTTGTTTTGGGGAATGTCCCAGAGTAGGGACTGGGCACTTTATATGGGGTGGAGGATGTTGGGCCTCAGCGAGTTGGTGCTCAGGGGTTATTCCTGGCTCTGCATTTAGGTATCACTCCTGGTGGGGGTGGCGCTCAGGGGATCATGGACAGTGCCAGGGATGGAACCTAGGTTAGTTGCGTGCAAGGAAAACACTGTCACCCCATGCCAACGCTGACCGTGGATCTGGACACTTTCTTTTCTTTTCTTTCTTTCTTTCTTTTTTTTTTTTTTTGCTTTTTGGGTCACACCTGGAGATGCACAGGGGTTACTCCTGGCTCTGCACTCAGGAATTACTCCTGGTGATGCTCGGGGACCATATGGGATGCTGAGAATCGTACCCAGGTCGGCCACGTGCAAGGCAAATAAATGCCCTGCTTGCTGTGCTATTGCTCCAGCCCTGGACACTTTCTAGGTGGATAATTCAGTCATTTGAAGTTCATGACTAATATCCCACTTACCTGTCCTTCCCTACCTCTCCCAGTGCCCCTCCCCATTTCCCTCTGTGTATCAAGAACATTCTCATCTGGACTGGAGTGATAGTACAGCGGGTAGGGCATTTGCCTTGCACGTAGCCAACCCGGGTTTGATTTCCAGCATCCCATATGGTCCCCTGAGCACCTCCAAGAGTAATTCCTGAGTGCAGAATCAGGAGTAACCCCTGTGCATCGCTGGGTGTGACCCAAAAAAGCAAAAAAAGCAAAATAAATAAATAAATAAAAGAACATTCTCATCCTACTAAGCCAGGATGAAGCTTGAAAACCAGTTTGAATCTATTCCTTTCCTTTGTGCCCAGATTCTACTTAGTCTTCACCACCTAGTAATACTTTCCTTGAAGTATTTCCTCCACCAATTTTTCAGCTAAAAAGTTTCCATGTATTAGTGCCACCATCTTTAGCCAGCCATTCTTAAAATTGAGGACCAAAAATATCAGATATTTTTGCTTTCCAATGGTTCATCTCAAAGGGAGCAATTCTGAGGGTTTTACTTTGTTTGTTTATTTTCTTTCTCTAAAAAATAGTTCTTGAGGGTGCCAGAGTGAGAGTACAGTGGGTGAAGGTGTTTGTCTTGTATGTGGCAGATCACATTTGATTCTCGGCATCCCATATGGTCCTCCAAGCACTGCAAGAGTAATTCCTGGATGCAGAGCTAGGAGTAACTCCTGAGCATGACTGTTTCCCCCCCCAAACAAACAAACCCTAAATAAATAGATAAATAAATAAATAAAATATAAAAGACACTTCTTTAAGGGCTAGAGGGTGGGGAGCGGTGATGGGGGAGGTGTGGGATAAGGCATTTGCTTATCGGATCATTCCAGATTCCATACCCCATACTCCATATGGGGTGCCCCTCTCCACCCCCAAGCACCATCATCAGTGATATGAGCACGGAGTCAGGAGTAAACCCTCCTGAGCTCAGCCTGTTTGGTGAGCAGGTGGTTCCCAAACACACACCAAACAGAACACATCTGTAGAAAGAGGAGCGCGTTGTTGGCGTGTGGAGGGGCGTGGGAGGGTCGGTGTAGGAAAGGTGTCTCTAACCCTGGGGGGCGGCTCTTGGTCATCGCAGACACAGGCACACCGACAAGGCTTCTCATTCTGGGAGATGGCAGAGCTTCCTCCTTCCTTGAACAGCCGGTAGATTTCTTCTTCTTTGAGAGGGATGCTTACCAAATCAGTCTGAGAGACAGAGTGGGGAGGGGGGAGGGACGAGGTTTCAGCCAGGTGCCATGGGGGAGGAGAGGAGCCCCCCGGGGGGAGAGAAGGGGGTGCAGGCCACGAGGACAGCTTTCACCTCCTGTAGGAGCAAGCCCTTCAGGTAGTAGATGTTCCGGAAGGTGATGGAGCTGCAGCACTGGATGATTTCAACCCCGGGAAGGCTCACAATCTGCAGAAGAAACGTCAGGTCAAAGACCAGCTCCTGTGCTCTTTCCCGGGGTCAAGAAAACTTTTAGAACCTCTCAGAGAAGGTGCAAGTTTATACACTTTTTAAAAAATTATTATTATTATTTTTCTATACCTGGAGGTGTTCAGGGCCTGCTCCTGGTTCTGTGCTCAGGAATCACTCCTAGTGGGTTCAGGGGACCACGTGGGGTGCCAGGGATTGAACCCAGGTGGGCCGCTTGCAAGGCAAACCCCCTACCCACTGTATTATCATTCCAGTCCCTATTTTTTTTTTCTTTTTGGATGACACCTAGCAGTGCTCAGGGGTTACTCCTGGCTCTGCACTCAGGAATTACTCCTGGCGGTGCTGTGGGGACTATATGGGATGCCAGGGATCGAACCCAGGTCGGCCGCATGCAAGGCAAATGCCCTACCCGCTGTACTATCGCTCTGGCCCCCTCCAGTCCCTATTTCAATTTTTTTTTTAAACAAGAGGCTGGAACTAGCAGATTTCTTCATCCCTTTCTTACCAACCAGTCTGTTCCTGGCATTTCCTGCCATCTTCTTTGTCTATCTCTGTTCTCACTCTCATTTTTGGATGCTTTCCTCCCCACCACATACAGTTTTTTATTTCCTTTATTATATTTTTGTTTATTTGATGGGGAGAGGGAGAGTGAGCCACACCTGGCCAGGTTCAGGGTTACTCCTGGTTCTGAGCTCAAAGATCACTCCTGTAGGGCTCAGGGGAGCATATGTGGTGCTAGGGATTGAACCTAGGTCTACAGCATGCAAGGCAAGTGCCCTACCTGCTATAATATCTCTATGGCCACTCATTCTCTTTATACAAACAGGCCACAATACCAGGAGCATCTATAGATATCACTTTGACCACCCTCCATTGTGCTCTCCCCCTTGTAAATTGGCAGCTTGTTTCCAGCTGCAAGAGGTCGTTTTTGGAGAAAAACTAGACAAAGGAGTGGGGTTGATTGGGGTTCCTTTATAAAAAAATTATTTTGCTTTTTGGGTCACACTTGGTGGTGCTCAGGGGCTCCTCTAGCTTTGCACTCAGGAATTGCTCCTGGCGGTGCTCAGGGGACCATATGGGATGCCGAGGATTGAACCTGGGTCGGCTGCATGCAAGGCAAATTGCCCTACCCACTGTGCTATCACTCAGGTCTCTGATTTGGGTTGTTCTTACCTCCCCATAGTCATTGAGGCTTCTGTAAATGTTGGTGTTAGGGATCTGACCTAGGATGAAAATCTTAGATCTGAAAGGAAACACAATTATCTTTAGCTTGTCGCTGTCTTACCTTGTGGTGCTGGGCTCACCTCCGATGACCCAGGTACCTGTGTGACCGAACGGTAATGATGAAGAAGGCAAAAAAGGTGGACACAAGCAGACCCAGGTCCAATCCCAGGATAAGTGCGGTTAAGAATGTCACTATCCAAATAACCTAGGGGTATGGGTAGAAGGGAGAAAGAAAGGCCATGAAAAGCAGCAGCTGGAGAAACCCACCAGTTCCTCCTCTCAACCTTACTTTTTTACCCCCTCCAGAACCCTGGTATGTAGAAAGCCAATTTCTCAATCAAATCGATAGAATGGACAATGAACTCTGTCACGCCAGTCTTTAATGCATCACCTCTCTTTCCAGTTCTCTCTTGAAACCTTGGTTCTTTGTGTGCAAACTAGAGGTAAGCCTAGGTACGCTCTAGGCTTGGTGGAGACCAGAAATACTGTTTGCAAAGCAAGCCAGAGCACTGACCAAACGGCAGGTGCTGTGTGAATACCTGCAATTGTGACTGAGATCTGTAACATCTTTGGTCCCACCATCTGTCCCCAAACACTCAGCAGGTGACAACTTGCAACTCTCCAAAGAAGAGAGACTGAAACTCTCAGAAAAACACACTCTGCTCTCCAGCTGCCCCCGCTGAGCGTCTGCCTGCATCCTCCTTCATTCTCTGGGGACCTCTTAGAAGTGCTCAGTTTCCCTTTGCCAGGTGCTATAAGCAACTGCATTTTAGCTACGTCCTTTCAACATTTTAAAACAGTCTCGAGACCCCTGGGCACTGAGAATGGGGAAGTTTACATTTGCCCAAAATTGCAAATTCCGTCCCAGTCCTCATAGGAGACAAAGAGATCAGGGGCCTCTATCTGTCCTATGTTGAAACATAGACCCCAAGACTCTCATTAAACAGACTGTCCCCAACAGTCTACGTGGGGATGGAAGAAATTCTTCTTATCTGAGTTACACACACAAAGGACCTCAATTAACGAACCATCTCTGGGAAACAAATAGGAATTCTCTGCTACTTTGACAAGAACACAAAGACCCAGTTTTTCTAGATAATTTCGACAAAATGAACCATACTAGTCCTATGTTGTTTCGCCCCAGCTGGGAAATTCCTTTCTCTTCTACTTTTCAATGAACTTTTCTCTTTCCAAGGACTTTGAGCCCGAGCATCTATATTAGTCAATATTATTTTGTTTTGTTTTTTGTTTTTTTATTTTTTGCTTTTGGATCACACCCAGCGATGCACAGGGGTTACTCTTGGCTCTGCACTCAGGAATGACTCGTGGCAGTGCTCGGGGGACCATATGGGATGCTGGGAATCGAACCCAGGTCGGCCGCGTGCAAGGCAAATGCCCTGCCCGCTGTGCTATCACTCCAGCCCCTTACAGTCAATATTTTCAAAAACAAAAATATTGACAAACCTGGGAACAGTGGATGAGCACAGAGACCCGCCATCTCCATCACAGACCCTACTCCACCCCTCCAAATCTCGTTCCCTCTCTAGATCCTGGCTCTGCAATTGATTGCCTTTCATATTTTCCTGCCACCACTGAGACATTCTCCTAACACCCTACAGCCACTCCCCCGCGTATTTTATTGCCTGACATTTCCTATTTCTCTTCTTGAGTTTTGTGTCCAGGGGAAAGGCGGGGGTGGTGTCGGGAAGCGGTGGTGATGGGGAATAAGTATGTATCTGATCCTATGAAGTATTTCCCCACACAGGATTGAAAGTCATTCAAATAGGCAGTGCAAGTCAAGCCCCTTTAGATCAGATGTGCTTCTAACTGTGACCCTTTAATTCCTTGAATTTGCTTTTTGCATCTTCGAGACTGAAATTTTGGTATTTCTATACAGCGACACAGTTGGCTCCCTTGTATGAAGCAAAATAGGAATACCAGGCATCAAAGAGTTGCTAGTGTCCTTCAGGTCTCTGGCTGATGTTTTGTTTGTCCTCTCTCTCTCTTTCCAACCTTCCACTGTCCCTCACCTGCTCAGGCGGTTCTTACGTACTTACAAATTCATGTGGGCTCTGCCTCCACAGAGTGGGTAGATTAACAAAGGTTTGGAAGTAGGAGACAAGGTTGCTCAGAAAAATTCCAGCCAGTACAGCCTGTGGGGGGAAAAAAGATAAACCCAGCTGCATTCTCCCTTTGGACATTTATAAAACAAAACAAGTGTCAACAAGGATACTATGAAAATTTATCAGCCGTACCACATGGATATTTTGCATTGCTATTTTTATTTTTTAAGAAATGTCAGGCTTGTTTTTCTCATTAAATTTCCCATTTCTCTCTGCGCTTCTTCAGAATATGCCAAGCACTAACGGTTAAGGCAAAAAAATTATGTGAGGGGTTGGAGTGGTAGTACAGCGGGCAGGGTGTTTGCCTTGCATGCGGCCAACCTGGGTTCGATTCTCAGCATCTCATATGGTCCCCGAGCACTACCAGGAGCACTGAGTGCAGAGCCAGGAATAAGCCCTGAGCATCACCGGTGTGATCCAAAAAGAAAAAAAAAGTGATTTGGCCAATTATGCTACCAGGAGTTCCTTTTAGAATTAGTTCATTGATTACCTATGGATGGTGAAAAGAAGAATATGCAAAGGAGTGGGGCTGGATAGATAGTAAGTTCAGCGGGTGGGACACTTTGCCTTACATGCTTCCTGCCTTGGGCTTGATCCCCGAAACCATATATGGTTCCCTGAATCCCACCAGGAGTGATCTCTGAGTGCAGAGCCAGGAGTAAGTCCTGAGCCAGGTGTGGCCAAAAAAATAAACAAAGAATAGCCAAAGGTGACAATTATCTAGACTCTTCTGTTTCCAGATTGTCACATTTGGTGTCTTTGAACAAGATACACCAGGAGCTGGTTCCACTGACCACTGGTCTGGTGTTGGCTATGTGGCCAGACTTTGTCTAGTTTGTTGGGTTTGTGTTACTAATATTGCCTAGACACAGTTTTAAATAAGCTGAAAAGATAATGAAACTTCAACTCATAGAAACCCTAATATTTAGGCTTTTGTTCAAGTCTAATCACAATCAAATCATTTTAATTTGAGGTATCATATTTTTGCCCATCAAATTAAATTAACAAATTGAAAACACAGTTGTTGAGTATAAAAGGAGACTACTCTTTTGGAAAACAGTTTGGTTCAAGAAACACTGATATGGGGTTGGAGAGATAGCACAGCGGGTATGGCGTTTGCCTTGCACGCGGCCGACTTGAGTTCTATTCCCAGCATCCCATATGGTCCCCTGAGCACCGCCAGGAGTAACTCCTGAGTGCAGAGCCAGGAATAACTCCTGTATATCGCTGGGTGTGACCCCCCCAAAAAAAAAAAACCGCTGATATGCTTTCACACAGGAAATCTGATTTACTTTTAGAAGAGGGCATATAGAAAAAATTACTCATTGTATTATTTAAGATAATGAAAATTTAGATTTTCAAGTTATACCAAATACCAATCATATTTATAGTTGGGTTACAACTATACAAAGTAATAGATATTCATAGAAAATAATATTGGTTTAGGGGCAGGAGAGATAGTATAGAGGATACCTATGTTCTATCCCTAGCACCTATGGCCAGCTGAACCCCACCAAGAGTGATCCCTGTGGGAGAGAGTGAGGGGGCAATGGGGAGGGGAATACAAGAACTTGCAGAACTTGCAGACAGAATAAAAGGACTTGAGAGATAGTACATGGGTAAAAGTGCTTGCCTTGCATGTGACTGTCCCCCCATGGTGCTTAGAATTATTCTAAAATATTAATAGTGTTTTCTTTGTGATTGCAAATGAATAATTTTCCAAAGTTTTAAACGTTAGCAAGTCCACCACCCTCATGGAAAGCAATTTTCTTAAATATGTAAAAATGAAGATCCGTACTCATAATGGGTTATAAAAATCATCAGGTCCTCCAGGTGGAATTAACCTACTTAAGAAATATTTTCTTATGGTTCACAAAGTCCCTGCAGGTTCACTAAATGCCTGTTAAGCATTTCATAGCCTTTTCCTGGCCTTCCTCTCCTCTCTATATCCTACCTGGGAATTTGAACTGATCCTGAACCAGAAATGATTGGGTTGATACTGATGACAGTTTTCTGAGGTTACCCAGGGACTAGCTGTACTCATCAGGTCAGAAGAGCAAGGAGCAAAGTCAGAATCAGCAGAGATTACATCATGTCAGAGGCCAGAGAGATAGAACAGTGGGTAGGTGCTTGTCTTACACACAGCTGACCCGGGTTTGATCTCAGGTGTCCCATTAGGTCCCCAAGTCTGCCATGATTTTGGCTGCAGAGCCAGGAGTAACCCCGGAGCTTTGCTGGGTGTCCCCCCACCACCAAAAAAACAACTTCATTTCAAAATAATCCTTCCCCTAACATTTATTTTCCCACATATTAAGGAAAAAACATGCTAATCGTGTAAAGAATAATCAAGCTTATACACAAGTTTCCATTATCCCAGAGCTAATAATTGTTAACATTTGGTATAGTCTCTATTTTTTTTTGCACAAAATTGGAACAATATTAAAGATATTAATTTACATCGTTTTCCTCTTTCTCTCTTTCTCCCCCCCCTTTCTTTTTTGCAGTGATGGGGATCAAATTCAGAGTCTCATACATGCAAGGCAAGTGGCCTGCCACTGAGCTACCTCCTGGACCCTGTATTGTGTTTTACAAGATTGCGTAGCTCCGTTTACTAAGTAATTGAATCCTAGCTAGAATGTTCCACCAGTTGCTCCAATAAGGATTTTGCTGTCCACGGTCTTCTTTAAAAATTGACTTATTTTTTTAGAATTGGGCAAAGAGGCTGGTTTTTATTTTACTTTAAAAACTAAACAGGGGCTGGAGCAATAGCACAGCGGGTAGGGTGTTTGCTTTGCACATGGCCAACCCGGGTTTGATTCCCAGCCCCCATATTTATTTATTCCCTGAGCACTGCCAGGAGTAATTCCTGAGTGCATGCGCCAGGAGTAACCCCTGTGCTATGCCGGGTGAGACCCAAAAAGCAGGAAAAAAAATTATATATTTTTTAAAAAAGTAAACAAAAAAATTTTTGTTTTGTAGGTCATACCCAACAGTGCTCAGAGATTACCTCTGGGCTCAATGCTCTGGGGAACCATGTGGTGTTGGATATGTGGCCCAGGTCACCTGTATGTCAAAAGCATGTGCTCAGCTCATCAAGCTCTTCTCCAATCCTAATTCTCTCCCCACTTCTTTTGCCTCCCCTTTGTTGGTGCTTTGTGATGACCAGAGGGTTCAGCCAAGTGTGGTTTTAAGGCTCTGTACCATGAGGGTTGTGCTCTCGGGACTCTGCACTCACTCTTTTGTTATGGTGCTCATGCAAATTCTGGTCACCAAGGCCACTGTGGTTCTGCTTGCTGGGAGGTTCCCACTCACTCCTAGCCATGATGCTCACACACTTTTTTAGTGGTCCCCAGGAGTCACGCCATTTTTTAGTTGTGATGCAGCTGGAAATGGCTTATGGTAGAGAGGGAATCTATGCAGAGATGCCACCATGGGGCTCTGTGTATACAACTGGCAGCCAGCCCTGGGATCAAATTCACTGCCTCATGCTTACAGGACCAACCTATTAGTCACTGAGCCATTCCGTGGCCCTCGGGTTTCAAGGAAGGAAGAAATCACTCATAATTTAAGACTCAGAGCACCCATAATTGTAATGATTTAGATATTCCACAAACCAGATCATGTTCATATGCTGATATGACCAAAGAGATGAGGGATGCTTGGTCCCTAGCATATTTATAGTGAGGATAAATATGCTGTATGAAAATCATAAGATAAAACTGTTAGCATAACCTCCTAGTGATTTCTGACGCATACTCCTTTGTTGGGTATTAAGAAAAATTCCAACTCCTCTAGTTAAAAAGGAAATAGGGAAATCACTGTTCAGGGCCCCAAAGATAGTACAGCATGTAGGACACTTGCCTTGCACATGGCAGATCCTGGTTGCACCCCCAGCATTGTACTACCTGAGCATGGCCAGAAGTGATCCCTGAGTGCAGAGCCAAAAGTGATCCCTGAGTGCAGAGCCAGAAATAAGCCCTGAGCACAACCAGCCCTGACCCCAGCCTCTCCTCTCCCCCCAAAAAAATCACTGTTGAAAGGAAATTTGTGAGTGGCCCTCCAAAAACAGATGATATGCATGATTGCACTGAAGGTGCAGAAGACACTGAATTCTGGAGATGACTTTTGCTGGAACCCGAGGATGGCTCGTGTGATAAAACCAAGAACCTCGATACCCCCGACCAGCAGGCAGCATGAGCCTTGGGGCTTCCTGCTTCCCTACAACCTGAAGCCACCTCATGGGAGAGGTTTGGATGTGGTGGGAGGGTCCACCAGCATCTCAGTGTAGAAGCAGGAGCCTCCATCAGCCACTGAGCACCAGGGGAACAGAAAGGAAACTGAAGAAGAACTGGAGTCCACAAAGATGAGAGGGAGACAAATCAATGTGTGTAGCAAGAAGAGGCAGAGAGGAAGAAACTGAGAGGGAGGAGGGAAGGGGTCAAGGGCCTCAGGTACATCAGGGGTGCAGAGGAGTGGCATATATCCAGACCACAGAGTCAATGACACTGAAAACATGAGCTCCAAACCTCAATAAACCAAAACTGTGCATGTCGAGGGATGTAAGGGGGTGGAGTGGGAGGGAACCTGGGGACACTGGTGGAAGTTGCCACTGGTGGGGGTCCTGATGCTGGAACATAGTTTGCCTAAAACTCATAACTTTGTAAAACATACTATTTAATTTTTTAAAAAATTTAATTTAAAAAGAAAGAAATTATAGTCACTTATCATCTGATCATTGATCTGCAGGGTAACTTGGGACAACTGGTACTAGTCAGTGATGCACACACCCGATCTCTCTACATGGGGAAGGGCGGCTGTCTCCCATCAAGGAAGTGGCAGGTAAAGAAAGATGCAGAGTTTCCCTTTTTTCCAGAAAAAAAAAATCACACAGTCACCACCCCTCAAATTTGGGGGGGGTGCTTTTTGGGTCACACCTGGTGAGGTACAGGGGTTAGTTCTGGCTCAAGCATTCAGGAATTACTCCTGGCGGTGCTCGAGGAATCATATGGGATGCTGGGAATCAAACCCAGGTCGGCCGCATGCAAGGCAAATGCCTTACCCGCTGTGCTATACCTCCAGCCCTGCCCCAAATTTACTTTTGATCAAACAGAAAGTGCTTCTCCCATCAATTTCATCCACTACATAACCCCTTCAACCTATACTTTTCCAGCATCTCCAGGACAGTATTATCTTTAGGAAATGCTGGAGTCATCCTAGCTGAACAGTTAAAACCCAGCTTTCGGACTGTCCTCCCAGTGCTGGGAACTATTCCTGAGAGAGTGGCAGCAGTCATTCAATGGATCTCACATGGATGCAGACCGAGGCTTTCTGGAGCCAGTTCAGGAAAGCAGATGGTATGACGGCACAGCGAGTTTCTAAGCCTGTTTTGCTGGTGGCTGTTCTGGCATCGGAAGTCTATTTTGGTCATTTGTTACTGAATTCACACTTATAAGTCTTACGTTTGAGTTTAAGCAATAAAAAGATTGGTTAGGATGAAAGCAGTTGCAGTCATAGCAAGTCCTGTTCCTAGAGCACTAGGAGTATTCAGTCGACAGTAGGTGTATTATTATATTGATTTCCCAAGCCCTGAGATGTAGATGTTATTATTATTCTTGTTGTTGTTGTTTTGGGGTAACACCCACACATTGCTCCGGGGGATCATTCCTGGCGGTGCTCAGGGAATCATTAGCACTATCAGGGATGGAACCGGTGGGGGTGGGGGGTCAGCTGCACGTGAGGCAAGTGCTTTACCCACTACACTAACTCTTCAACCCAAGGTGGTGTTATTTGAAGGTAAAGGTACTGGAAATTGGTTTGGCAACAACCACCGGGTATCAACAGCTGAGTGGAGTTCTCTGTTGAGATGCTCCATCCAGGGTGATGCGAGGCTGAGTTTTCCTTGACTCAGTTATTGACCCAGTTCTACTTACATTTGGCAGGCCATAGAAGAAGGTTCCCAACTTCACCATCAGCAGCAGCATCACACATGCACCAACCAGAGATGCAAACTGAGGAGACACAGGCAGTTAGAGAGAGACCCTCAGGAAGGTATTGGTACCCTGTCTACAACTGAGGCCTTTTTCTTGGGGAGAAGCATACCGCTTCTTAGTCCGTTTGTATATATAAATGATTTTTTTAATAGAGGAAGATTTTATTTATTTGTTTGGCTTTTTTGGATCACACCTGGCGGTGCTCAGGGGATACTTCAGGCTCTGCACTCAGGAATTACTGGCAGTGCTCAGGGGACCACAGGGGATGCTGGAGATCAAATTCAGGATGGCAACATGGAAGGCAAATGCCCTACCTGCTGGACTCTTGCTGCAGCACCCTAAGTTAATTTTTGTGCAATTGTCAATGTTGAGATCTTGTTCAATGTGCTGACAACATACTGAGTTGTGTTCACTTGACAGTAGGTATATTCACTACTTTCTTGCTGGATTCTTGCTGGTGGATTGCTTGCATATTTTCTGCCACTTCCCACTGTGTCTTGGATACTGGGCTATCTACTGGCATGGCATTATACTACACTCCTGAACTTTTCTGGCCTTCCCTTCCTCCATCCCTCCTGGAATGGTTTAAAAGGGCCTGATCTGCTTCCTTGCTGTCAGCCCAGAGGGTCCCACCATTCCACCTCTTGTGTCAGCATCTAGCCCCCTCTTCAATTCCCTCTTAGGAACTTGGATGGCTTCCCATAGAATGTTTTCCTTGGGGCTTCATCGGGAAAATGCAACAACAATCAATTTTTTAAAATTCCCTACTTCTGGGGCTGGATCGACAGCACAGCGGGTAGGGCGTTTACCTTGCACGCGGCCGACCTGGGTTCGATTCCCAGCATCCTATAGAGTCCCCTGAGCACTGCCAGGAGTAATTCTGAGTGCAGAGCCAAGAGTAATCCCTGTGCATTGCCGGGTGTGACACAAAAAGAAAAAAAAAATTCCTACTTCTGTTCCTCTCTGATTTTTTTTTTTTTTTGCCATCAGAAAATGTTACACCCATGGGGCCTAGAGGTATATCATAGTTCTGCCTCACATTCCAGCTGTGTTCACTCTCTGGGTTCAGTGGCCCTTGGTAAGAAATAATCCTGCTATGGCAAATAAGAAGCCTAGTTCCCTCACAATCTCTAGGCTTTTAAGGAAATTGAAGTTAAAAACTCGAAGACTTAAACTGGCTTCAATAGATCCAATAATTTAACCTACCAGTTGGTTGGGATTTTTTGTTTGTTTGTTTGTCTTGGCTTTTGGGGTAACACCCATCAATGCTCAGGGTTATTCCTGGCTCTGCAATCAGGAATTACTCCTGGCATTGCTTGGGGAACCATATGGGATACCAGGGATTGAACCCTGGTCAGCCGCATGCAAGGCAAGCGTCCTCCCTGCTGGACTATGGCTCCAAACCCAGTTTATTGGGATTTTATAGCTAAATTAATTAGTGTATATATAACTATATATTTATAATTACCAAGTGCTAAGAAAAACCCAACCAATGTCTAGGCTTTGGGGATGTAGTCCTTAACTCATTCTAGCCTTTCTTGGTAAATTTCTATTGTTTAAGCCCCTGATTTAAAAAAGAAAATAGAGCAAGAGAATTTTCCACTGTGTTTGGGGCTGGGGAGAGGAATGAAGCTGTAACCACAAATCAAAACAATGGCATATACAAACAAGAACTGAGGGAGTTCCTTAAATCTAAACCATGAAGAAAATCACTTAACAAGAATTCTCTCGTTTCCCCCTTTATTTCATATATGGGGAGAAAAAAAGAACTTTTTTTTTTCTTTTTGGGTCACACCCAGCGATGCTCAGGGGTTACTCCTGGCTCTACACTCAGGAATTACTCCTGGTGGTGCTCAGGAGACCATATGGAGTGCTGCTGTGAATCGAACCCGAGTCGGTCGTGTGCAAGGCAAACACCCTAACCACTGTGCTATCACTCTAGCCTGAAAAAAAACTTTTTGCTGGATTGTCTCTCATCACTCACTCCTGTTTTCCCAATAAGGCTTCACGGAAAAGAACAGCAATAAAATCAATGCCTACTCCTAAACCCTGGACTCACTCCAGCTTTTTAAAATTTTTTTTAAATTAAAATGCCATGATTTACAAAGTTAGTAATAATTAAACATACTGTGTTCCAGCATCAGTCTCACCACCAGTGCCTCGTACCTCCATCAGGGTTCCTTGTTCCCTCTCACCCAACCCCCACAGTGTGCAATTACTTTTTTAAAACAATGCCAAAATACTCTCCAAATTGCTGTGCCATGCTTTTTGTTGTTCTTGTTTGATTTTGGTTTGGTTTGGGCTTCACCCTCCTTCGTGCTCAATTGAGGCTTACTCCTGGGTCTGTGCTTAGGGACAATCCTGGTGTTGCCCAGGGAACGCTGTGTGATACCAGGGATCAAACCTGAGTTGACCATCAGCAAGGCAAGTACTGTAACCCCTGGACTATCTCTACAGTATGTTCGCTGTTTTGTATGTTACATTTGAAAATTTCCATTGTGATCACTCCAACTTTATCTCTGATCATTCTCTGACCTAGCATTACCTTCTACCACCAAGATGGGACACTTCCTGTTGTAAAATTTTAGCTACTCAGCTTAAAACTTAGGCCCACTGTCAAACTCAGCATAGTGTTCCGTGGTAAAGGATTTGCCTTTAAGGTGGGAGGTTTTGGGTTTGATCCTCCTGCACCACAAAAACAAACTCGTGGACACTGAATTTACAAAATTTCAGGCTTGCAACTGAACCAAGAGTTTGCTTTCAGAGTCATCCCTACCATGATTCTCCCTTTTCTACCCACTCATGTATTTCCTTTATGAACCCAGAATACCTAAGAGAAACTGACTTCGTTATTTTTCCTATTATACAAATGCAGAATGGTGTCAAATTCCCTAGGCTACCTTGATACAGACTTTATTGAAAGCTTCTTTCTGTAACATCGAAGTTTCTAGTTTGAGGATTAAACGTGTAATAGTATCACTTTCCGGGTCTAGGAAAAGATACTGTATCTCCCCTGAGGAAAATATTGTTAATAGGTGATAAACTAATAGCATAAGTTTGCCTGAAATATTATTGTTACATGGGGAAAAGGGCTACTAAATGTAGGATGATACATTGAGAACATCTCATGTAAAATATTTCTGTAGAAAACAACTTTCAAGTTCCACACTGACAAATAGGTTTTAAGAAAAAAATCCAAGCAAGGGATTGGATTGGATTGGATTGAGGCAAGGGGCTGGAGAGGTAGCATAATGGGTAGGGCATTCCATAAAGTCCCCTGAACACCGCCAGGAGAGACTCCTGAGCACAGAGCCAGGAGAAAGTCCTGGCACAGCCAGTGTAGCCCAAAAATCAAAACCAAACAAAAAACAAAAACAAAAAACTTGAGGCAAGCATGAAATCTAAATTCTTTCAAGAGACATTCCCCAACAAGCATTACTTTAAAATAGCAACATGGTAAATACAATCCCCTTCTATGAATAATACATGAACAATGCATATGACTAGACAAATTTCTTTTTATATTTGAGATTAAATTTTATTTCAGCATACCTGCTGTCTTCCTCCAGTTTTGTCCTGAATAACAGTCCCAATAATGGCACCCGTACATACCCAAGATCTGAAAAATGAACTGACGACATTGCAAAGCCCAATGGCTACTAAATCCTATAAACAACAACAACAACAAACAAGTTAGACTCACTATTTGTAGAACAAATGCTTATTTGATTCAAAGGAAAGGCTTAAAATAAAAACAACAACAACAACAAAAAAAAACACTGCTGGCTACCTCTTGAATATGAAGATGGGGTTATTTATATCACTTAAAATAATACTGAGGGACTTGAGCAATAGCACAGAGGGTAGGGCGTTTGCCTTGCGCGCAGCCGACCCGGGTTCGATTCCCAGCATCCCATATAGTCCCCTGAGCACCACCAGGGGTAATTCCTGAGTGCAGTAACCCCTGAGCATCACTGGGTGTGACCCAAAAATTTAAAAAAATAATAATAATACTGAGATGTGTGGGTTTCTTTGTTTGTTTGTGGGACACACCTGGTAATGCTCAGGGGTTTCCTCTGGCTCTGCATTCAGGAGTCACTCCTGGTGGTGCTGGGGGACCCGATAGGATGCTGGGCATCAAATCTGGGTGGACCTCATGAAAGGCAAGTATCTTACCCATTGTACTATCTTTGTGGCCTCTGAAATGTGTTTTTTATATTTTTTAGAACAAAGGAATGACAAATCTGATTTAAATTTTTATTTTAGCTAGTGAGCATAAGAAAAGAGGTGTTTTGGGGCTGAGATGATAGCATGATGGGTAGGGCATTCGCCTTGCACGTGACCGACCTCGGTTTGATTCCCAGCATCCCATATGGTCTCCTAAGCATCGCTAGAAGTAATTCCTGAGTGCATGAGCCAGGAGTAACCCCTGTGCATTGCTGGGTGTGACCCCCCCCAAAAAAGAGTTTTTTTTTTAAGTGAGAAAATGAGATTTTTGCCCTATTCTTCTCTCTTCTACGATTTTGAATGGCAGTTCTAATTAATAACTTCCTAACAGTCCAAGTAGTTTTTCTTCTGAGTTCCAGGTTAAAGACCAACCTAAGAGATAGATATTTGGGGCAGACCAGGTTCAGTGGTCTGACATCAATACTCCATACTATCTAATTATATCAGTATGTGACTTAGTTCTAGGGATTTGATGAAAAGACTGGAGAAGGAAGATTGAGACATCAGAGGAAACAGAGAAAGGTGTCTTCTCACCTGGTTGGAATTGACTTCATAGCCATGAAAACTGGCAAACTTCTTGCCCATAAATATGAGCAGAGCAGAGCTCACTAAAGCTAAGGAGAAGGCTTCTATAACAATTTCAGAAAAAAATTTCGTCTCTGGTGTTATAGGAAACAGGAAGCTGGAATGAAATGGTACAATTATTCCCGGAGGGCAGAACCATTCCTGGGCACTTCCCCCCAACATTCCAACTTTGTCCTAGTGGGTAGACCTGAGCCTTAAGAAAACAGCAGTAAGTACAGCAATTGTGGTAGTGGACTGCCCAAATTACAGGCACACAAAACCAAATTAAGGGGTCCTGAGTGGGGCCTTCCTTTCATGCGACAGACCCGGGTTCGATCCCCAGCATCCCATATAGTACTTTGAGAACCACCAGGACTGATTTCTTAGAGCAGAGCCAGGAGTAAGCCCTGAGCATCACGGGGTGTGGCCCGAAACCCAAAATATAAATGAAATAAAATAAAAAAATTGGAAAAGATGTAAAGAAATGAGAATTCTTATGCACTGTTGGTGGGATGGAAGTAGGGGCAAAAACTAGCAGGGGGCGGTTGGAGGGGGAATGTGTGGAGATTGATGTATGATATGCAAATATTTTCTCCATTCAATAGAAGTGCATTTTTAAGCAAGTGAAAATTGAATTTAAAAAATAAAAAGGATGCTGAGGAAAAGCTTGGTGATGGAGCCTTTTCTTTATGTGTGTGAGACCCTGATTTCAATTTCTAGCACTACACCAACCCCTGAAAAACAAAAAGTTAAAAAAAAAACTGGTCATTTGAATTTTTAAAACTGTAGTTGTAGTGCAAATGTTTAATTTAATGATATACTTTTTTAAAGTTTCTTTTTACACGGTGGTTTGAATTAATGTCGCTTATATTATTTTGTAATAAAACAACTTAGATTTCTACAGGCCTTAAAACCACAGATAGTGGTTCCTATTTGAATTGTATCTTCTGTAATAGATTTCAATAAAGTTGGACCAACTTATTGTCAAAAAAAAAAATCCGTAAAAAAAAAAATAAAATAAAGGGAAAAAAAAACAACAACAAAAAAAATCCAACATTGCCCAGGAAGATAGTTCAAAGGGCTGGAGCATGTACTATACAAGCAGGGTCCCTAGTTTAATCCCCAGCACCATATAATCCCTCAAGAACCTGGGAGTAACTTCTTTTTAAAATTTTTTTATTAGTGAATAGGGGCTGGAGTGATAGCACAGAGGTAGGGTGTTTGCCTTGCACACGGCCGGCCAGCCGAGCTGGGTTCAATTCCTCCTCCCCTCTCAAAGAGACCAGCAAACTACCGAGAGTATCGCGCCCGCATGGCAAAGCCTGGCAAGCTACCCATGACGTATTCAATATGCCAAAAACACAGTAACAAGTTTCACAATGGAGACGTTACTGGGTCTGCTTCAAGCAAATCGATGAACAACGGGAGACAGTGACAGTGATTAGTGAATCACCATGAGGTACAATTACAGAGTTATAAACTTTCGTGCTTGGGTTCCAGTCACACAATGATTGAGTACCCATCCCTCCACCAGTGCCCATTCTCCACCACCAACGATCCCAGTATCCCTCCCAGTACCTGGGAGTAACTCTTAAGCACTGAACTAGGACCATTAACTGTGCACCTTCCCCAATTTTTAAAAACCACTGGAGAGCGTTCTCGAAAGTAATATGTATAAAGTACAATGATGGAGATTATACTTTGAAAGATTTGAGTATGAATACAAGAAAATTTCTTGAGCTTCTTGGCACTTGAATGTTTGCCCACTGGTTGGTATACACAGTCTCAGAGGATGTGAATAAACCATTTTTCCATCTATCTTTGTCATTTTCCCTGTCTAATTTGTTTTCACTGCTATGTGGCAGACATGTTGATCAGAAGTTAGCGGAGCAGATTCATTTCATGGCCTTTGTAACTTGTATTTAGCACTGCAGCACTGTCCTCCCATTGTTCACCGATATGCTCGAGCGGGCACCAGTAACGTCTCCATTGTGAGACTTGTTGTTACTGTTCCTGGCATATCAAATACGCCACGGGGAGCTTGCCAGGCTCTGCTGTGCAGGTGGGATACTCTTGGTAGCTTGCCAGGCTCTCCGAGAGGGACAGAGGAATCAACCAGGTCGGCTGCATGCAAGGCAAACACCGTACCTGCTGTGCTATCGCTCCAGCCCTACTTGTTTTATTTATTAATTTTTTAAATATTTTTATTAGTGAAACACCATGAGGTACAGTTGTAGACTTACAAATTTTTGTGCTTGGGTTTCGATTATACAATGATCAGATACCTATCCCTCCACCAGTGCCCATTTTCCACCACCATGGATCCCAGTATCCCTCCCACCCCCATCTGCCCCATCCCACCCTGCCTCTGTGGCAGGGCATTCCCTTGTGTTCTCTCTCTCCTTTTGGGTGTTGTGGTCTGCAAAAGAGGCACTGAGTAGCAATCATGTTCAGTCCATAGTCTACTTTCAACATGCATCTCCCATCCTGGGAGGATCCTCCCCAAACCCTTTATTTGGTGCTCCCTTCTCTATCTGAGCTGCCCTTTCCCCTAGAATGCCCGGCTGACCTCTAAGCCATGGAGTAATCCTCCTGGTACTGACCTCGGCTATTCCCTACTTGTAAAAAAAAGAAACAAACACCAAAGCAGATGTCAAAAAAACTTTCCCTCTGTTTTTTTTTCTAGGATTTTTGTGGATTACATCTAAATATTTATTTCATTCTTAGTTGATCTTTGTGTATGAATTAAGATAGTAGGTTTAGTATCATTTGTTTTATGTGGCTGTCCCTTCTTCACACCATTTACTGAGGAGACTGTCCTTGCTCCATTGTATATTATTGTATATTATTATCGAACCTTTTGTTATAAGTTAATTGATCATATATACATTTCTCCTGGCGGTGATCAGGGGACCATATGGGTCGTTGGGAATCGAACCTGGGTCAGCAAGGCAAAGACCCGACCTGCTGTACTCTCGCTCCAACCCTCTTTGTTTCTTTATAACCCCACGTATTCATCTTTTCCATTCTGAATAATTTGACTCAGCAAAATACCCTCTATTTCCTTCCAGGCTACAACAACCGCATGATTTCATTTTTCTCACATCTTGAGTGTATGTATGATGTGTATATCCAACAATTTCTTTACTCATTCATCTGTTTGTGGGCACTTGGGTTGTTTCCAGGTATTGGCCATTGTAAACAATAAAACAATGGACATAGATGTGCATATGTCCTTGCAGATAAATATTTGGTTGTTCTTGAAGGGTTGTCCAGGAGGGTCACATGGCAATCCTATTCTGAATTTTCTGAGGAATCTTCATACTGTTTTCCACAAAGGCTGAATCAGACAACAGCTCTAATGATGGTGAATAAGGTCTTTTTTTCACCACATCTTCACCAACACTGAATGTTTCCATTCTTTTGAATGTAGCTCATTCTCACTGGTACAAGATAATGTTTCATTGTCATTTTCATTTTTGTTTCCCTGGTAACAGTAATGATGAACACTTTTCATATGCCTATTGGCCATCTTTACGTCTTCTTTGAGGAACAGTCTGTTCACCTCCTCTCTTCATTTTTGCTAGGATACACTTATCTATCTTTTTGTATTATTGTATCTTTTTGCTAGAGGGCTATATAATAATTTTATGTATTTTGGACATTGACTTCTTATCTGATGTATAATATGCAAAAATAAATTATATTTTTATTTTATTGGTTGCTACATAAAAGCTTTCTGGTTTGATATAGCCCCACTTGTTTATTGCTTTTGTTGTTTTTTTCTTTTGGTGTTAAAAAAGAAAACAAGCAAAATCACCAAAATTTGGTTTGTTAAAAAAAACAAAACAGGGGCTGGAGCAATAGCACAGCAGGTAGGGCATTTGCCTTGCTTGCAGCCGACCCGGGTTCGATTCCCAGGATCCCATATGGTCCCCCAAGCATCGCCAGGAGTTATTCCTGAGTGCATGAGCTAGGAGTAACCCCTGTGCATAGCCGGGTGTGAACCAAAAAGCAAAAAAATCCAAAAAACAAAAAAACAGAAAAAACATACAACACCAAAGCAGATGTCAAAAAAAACCTTTCCCTCTGTTTTTTTTTCCTCAGAGTTTTGTTCAGTATCATTTGTTTTATGTGGCTGTCCCTTCTTAACACTATTTACACAGGAGACTGTCCTTCCTCCATAGTATATTATTGAACTCTTTGTTATAAGTTAATTGATCATATATGCATTTTTGCCTTTGGCTTTGGCTTCTTTTTCTTCTCAATTATGACTTTGACTCTAAGAGGATTTTGAAACTTCTTACAAATTTTAGGATTGTTTGTTCTATTTATCTGAAAAAAAGTTATTGAAATTTGTATAGGGCTTGTTCCGCAGATGGTCAGTTGAATTCCACTGGCCCTTTTAGCAGAAATGGTAAAGAAGATTCTGTGAGATCTCTACTATTTTATTTTGTTTTCCAGCCATACTAGTGTTGCTCAGGGCTGACTCTTGGCTCTACAATCAGGGATTACTCCTGGCAGGCCTTGGGGGATCATAGAGATGCTGGGAATTGAACCCTGGTCTCCCACATGCAAAGCAAAGTGCCTTGCCCACTGTATCTCTTCAGCTTTCTGAAAAGGAGATTCTAAAATCCATATGCAATTACAAAACCAAAACAATCTTGGAAAACAAGAACAAAGCTGTATAAGTTACATTTCTCCATTTCAAAATTTACTACAAAGTTATAATAATCAGGACTGGACAAGGATATAGACGAATGGAAAAGATTTTTGAATTCAGAAATAAGCCCCAAACATTTATGGACAATAGATGTCCTACATGGGTGCTAAGATCATTCCATCTGAAAGGAAAAGTCTCTTTAGTTAATGTGCTGAAACTATTGGATATTCGCACACAAAGCAATGAATTTGAAGGTCTTCCTTACAACACATTTAATAATAAACTCCAAGTGGATTGAAGATCTAACAGTGGGGCCTAAAACTATAAAACCCTTGGAAGAAAATCTGGGAATAAATTTTCATGATCTTGGTTTAGGTTATAGTGTTTTAGATAAACCCTCCAAAATACAAATGTTAAAAGAAAAAAATTAACTGGACTTTCTCTAAATTGAAAAC